CCTATCCCCTGTNTGCCTTGCCTCCCACGACTCCTTTAGTAGTTTCATGCATGCCTTCATTCTCTAACTCCCCAAGTTACAGATTCCAAATCAGAACAGTGGATGCAGATGTTGTAAATAGTCTACTCCTATTTTTTGGTGATTAAGCGCAGAGCTAAACCTTGAATGTATAAACTGCTGGCCTAGCACCCCTGTCCTGCAAGTGGCCAAACATACGGAAAGAAATTTCATGAAAATTAGGACTCAAAATTCTCTTAATTTTAATTCTTCATCATCATGTAATGTAAGGCCTAAATGATAATTCCTTGTAAAGTTTTTGATAGCTTGTACAAGGTTACTTTATACAATACAAAAGTGAACACTTTCAAAAAATATTACTTATAAAGCATTCCAAATTTTTTACAACACATATTGCAAACAAACAAATAGCACCAAAAAAACAGCCTAGAAAAGGGTTCAGGCATTGAATCGATTTAATAGGATGTGATAAATTACTTCGGAATTTTCGATGCTTTGTGGGCTTTCCCCCTCTAGGAGAAACATACATATTTCTTCCAGGCAATTGTCCATATTGAATGTCACCAAAGTCCCACCAGAAGCAACTATGAAGCATGATTTATACAGTAGATTATTCAAAATAAGAGGAAAGATACAAATGTGGATTATGAATATATCCATTTCAGTTAAATCAAGCATTTCGCTAATAATATTTGGTTTCCATTGACATAACTTGATACTGCAACTATACATTTTCAGCAATGGAGAACATAATAATACACAAGTTCTACATGCCCAACAATCAACCATAGCCTCAATGGAACACCCTCAAATTCTTTCTTCTCAAAGGTTATCACCAACTCTTCTTTTCACCTGTTCCATACCAGTTAGCAGCACATGTTAACCATGTTTACTACCAAAATCATGCTTAAAAGAAAACTAATTCACATTGAAACATAGTAAGACCAACAGCTTATCCCAACAAAAGATGCCAAATGTCTGTCATAAGAAACATTTGTCTTGTTACTTAAAAAGAAATGAAAGAAAAAACCATGGAGCCCTATTACAAAACCATATCTGACTAGGGTGTCTCCAAAGATAAATAAGAACATACCGACATGATCATTAATCCTTGTATTTCATTGTTGCTTTCTCAAACCCAATTGTGGGGAACTGCTTGGCATACTCCTCTACCTCATGGCGGAGCTTTGCTATCTCTGATTGGATATCAGGAGTCTGAAGTGTGGCCACAAAGTCCTTCAACTTTGTCCCACCTAAGTTACCAAGACCAATACGATTAACCATGCAAAATCATAGTGAAACTATTCAAGTGAAAATATCAAAACATTGCCTGCAACACCTGCATACATCATGCAGGTGGTCATATTCTCTGTCAGTGATTATTTTACCCTCCATTTTGCTGAACCTCCCTCCATTGTCCTACCAGGGTGGGGGTGAAATAGTCATTTAAAAAGAAATGAACAGTCCAATCATTCTCTAGGGATTTCAAGTTTCTGGAGCACCTCTAGCAGTTTATGCAGGTCTTCCAGGCACAGTCTTGAAATATTTACATATTAGATATTATTGAAATATGTACCGATCTGACTAGACAGTACGAGTAGGGCAAACCTTTTGTTTCATTCTTGACCTTTACAGCTAACTTAACAGCGGCATCAAAGAAGTCAGCTACTTTGACAAAATCCTCTTCAATGAACCCCCTGGATGTGAGCGCCGGTGTGCCTGGTATACAAAAATGAATTGATAAAACAATAAAAGTACATCAGTTCAGTGTAGCTACTGTGAGAATAATTGCATGCTAATGAAGGAGAACATAATTATCATAGGCTTTCCTTTTCTTGAGAGGTAACATGTCAAATTAATCAATTATATTAATAAATTAGTCATTAGTAATGTGAAGCTTACCCATCCTAATGCCACCAGGGACCATGGCAGAGACGTCACCAGGGACGGTGTTCTTGTTTGCTGCAATATGAACCAACTCGAGCACCTTCTCCACTCTTGAACCATCAATACCCTACAAAACCCAAGAAGCAATTATATTGTTTCAAATATTCCAAGAAAGTGGAACTCACAAAGTGGTCTTAAATTTCCTTCACAAATGCAAAATGAGCAATGATAACAAAGAAAAGATATGGATTTGCATGTTAATACTCGAAACTCAATAATGATTTGCCTCAGAATAAAACCATTTTGCCAAAGAAAGCACAAAAGTTCCAAGTGTAATAAAACGAAGCAAAACATGTTCATCTAAGGCCACGATAACACAAAGTATGTACCTTGTTCTTCAAGTTCACCAAAACTAGATGGTTGTCAGTTCCACCAGAAACAAGCTCATAGCCATTTTCCATCAAACGCTGAACAAGAATTCACTCTAGAAATTAATAACCCTGGAAACACAAACTAAGCGAATTCCAAACTTGGCTAACAGGCCATTGAAAGATGACTTTTTGTCGCACATAAGATGCAGTAGAAGAAATGCTCGCTCAAATTATGCAGGAAACGAGATATGTCTACCTGAGCAAATTTTGAGCAATTGCTGAGAACTTGCTCTTGATAAGCCTTGTATTCTGGAGTGGTAGCCTGGAAACATAAAAATACCTTAAACTTGAATCAAGGTGCATATCGTGAGAGCCTGAGGCAGATCATCCTAATCTAACCAACTATTCGCTATAGCTATCAGTGTGTGATATAGGTTGCATCTTTAACATTAACCTCTCATTTTTAAATTTTTATCAACCAGTAAAACATTAAATAATTGTTTACTATGCCATAATAAACTTGAAGAACATGAAATAACCAAAGAATTCAACAACTTCCCATAATCATTTCATTGTTGGTCATGACTTGCTCAGCTTTTATGAAAAGGAATATTCTCTAAATACAAGTAAAAGCAAGCAAGATCCACATGTACCATTTAGTTTAGTACTGAGATAGACATCCATTCTACTGATCCGAAATTATTTAAAAGTTGATAATCGACAGTGCAAAAATGATTCAAAAGATTCCACTGATTGCAGTACAAAAATCAGTATTCATGGTGCAAACTTGAAAACATTCAGAGTTAATCTAGTGCAACTTTATTCAGAGTTAATCTAGTGCAACTTTTGTTCCCTACTTCCAAGCCACATATTTGTGCCAGTGCATGAATACTGCAACAAGTGTGTATTATGTAGAGTATTTACTAGAAGAAAAAAAATCGAACATCAAAAGAAAGGAAGAAGGAACCCGTAATCCCTAGAAATTACCACAATTATCTTTGTTGATGAATACAAACCTGTTTAAGTGCAACTGCCAAACCCGTGATTGTATGGTTATGTGGACCTCCTTGAAGACCAGGAAAGACAGCCGCATTTATTTTTTCTTCATAGTCATACATGACCTTCATAGCATACACAAAGACCACCATTTAGTAATTTGATAGAACTCCGAGGATCATAATTTTAGTCATAATCTTCTCTCACATTGACAGAGGAACTGAAATTATCAAAATTGATCAGCACAGGAGCAAACAAACAGAACCACAAATACCTTGTAAAAATTCAAGAGCTCTGGAGCACTCACCTGTTGCCCTTGTTTATTAACCTCTTTGACCCCCTTCCTGAAAAAGATCATGGCCCCACGGGGTCCACGAAGTGACTTGTGTGTGGTTGTGGTTACAACATCTGCATACTCAAAGGGAGATGGAATAACCCCTGCAGCAACCAACCCACTAATGTGTGCCATGTCTGCCAACAAAACAGCCTTTTGCTTATTACAGACCTGTAAAGAAAACCAACAAATTTTATCATGAAGTTGAAAGTTCGGGAGCACCATTGGGATACAAGAAGTAAAGAATGACCTTTTCTTTGACAGTTGACCAAAATAATGAAAGAAAAGCGTTTTAGTAGTGATACAAAAAGGGAATGTTTTACCTTGCGAATACGTGCATAATCATAGAGACGAGCATAAGCACTAGCACCAGCAACTATAAGCTTGGGCCTAAAAAGTGTTGCACTCTTCTCTAACTGCAAACAGAAACAAATCCAGAACCCTCAACCTTGTGTGAAAAAGGAAGAGTTTCTTTCATAAAGAAATCTCAGATTACACAATAGGGATTCAAAGGTAGGTATATTGTACAGATACTTAACCAATTGCTAAAACAAATATACGCTCGCAAGAGAGTACAAGTTGCACAAAATAGGAAAAGCTAAATACATTATGGAACTAAACTAAGTGTGCAAACTTATCAGAATTCAGAAACAAACAAAAGTGGCATCTATTAGTCAATGTTAAAATAAGTTGACAAACTTGCAGTATGACTATTCCAGTTCTTCAGGCAGCATCGGGTATTAAAAATTCAGCAACTTTTGGCTTATTTCAATGAAAATGTCCATGATACTACAAATTTCTGGTAAAACATGCACAACACCCAAAATATATTCCAGACTCTTAAAATTCCATCTGAAACCAGTACAAGTTTTTTTATATTTAGAAAAATTTTGTTTCATGAAAAAACTACTGGTTTTCTATTTAGCCATACAAAACAAGATGAAGTAAGATGACCCCTGATTCATCAAATGATAAAGTATGAACTACCACAATATATAATCCGGAATATGATGCGGTTTATGAGGGGACAGTTTATTCTGTTGCAACACATAGCAATAATGTGGGCAGTCATAGTTTGGTGGTTCACCAATTAGAACTTCTCCATAAGAATGTGAAGAATCAATTCTCCTCATAGTTAAAAGGTAACTGATTCATTGTTGGCATGCAAACCTCCGGAAGATAAACGTCTTAAAAAATTTCCAAGGTCATTTGGTTGATAAAACTTGAAAAGCAGCTCTTGATTTCCAATTTAAGAGAGATCTTCAATTCATTCTGAATATCTCAATTTTACAGAAATCACAGTGAGATTCACCCCATATTTAGTCAAAACTTCAATAAAATTGGCAAGAAGCTACTTCTATCTCTTCTCCACACATCTACATGCCATCATGTTGGTGATTTTTAACAAAGGCGAAGACATGAATATAGACATATTTGTTGGGCAAAACGTTGCCGATTGATATCTCATGATTAAGGCTGAACGCAGGAAGTATTCCATTCGGAATGTATACAAGTGTAGATATGTTGATTAGACTGAGAATACAAAAGAAAAGAAAAAGCTATGCAAATTTGACTTCTATAATTTCTCTACAGTATGACAGTCATCTCTACATATGCCATTACATGCTTCTAACAGACTTTTCTTAATGGTGGGTATTTAGTTTGGTTTTCACAGACTTCTAATAGGCATAAATACCCAAGGCCAGTTTTGGCCAGTTTCTTACATGTGAAACTAAGAATAGTAATTGGAGACTTGTCGAACATCAGGTTAAGTCTTCTGCGACTTGGTTGAGACTTGATATAGGGGTGAGGTTAGTCGCATCTGGCGAGTTCCAAGTCAACTCAAAGAGCTTCAAACTGTGGTAACAAAGTAGGTGCACACTTGATATACAAAAGGAATCAAACTACTTGTAAAAATTGCAGTGATTCATAATTCCAGAAAAGATATATTACACTACATGAAATAATTTCATAGAATTCTAGTCAATGTTGAATCCCAACAGTTTTACAATAAAGGAACTACTAAGCTTCCATCGTGTAAGAAATTGCAACATAAGATAGACTCAACCACACTAGACTCAACCACACTGCCCATCTGACCACCAATTAGATTAAAATCAACAATGTATTAATAGGCATCTTTTTGGCACATGTGTACAGATGGAACAGTTCTGACCCATAATACTAGCAGAATTCCATGGAGAACATAATAATTAGGATTTAATTACGATTTAATTTGTTATACTGGGGTGAAAAGTGAAATCCCCAAAGAGAAGAGGTATGCAATACTACCTGGTCATAATCAATATATCCAGTAGACTCGTCCAGTCTGTATGGCATTGTTTCAAAAAATATAGATACAGCCGATATCTTCTTCGTGTCAGTCTGAGATATGCCAAATAATTTTTTCGATAAGTCACATGGACACATAAATGAAATGTGTAAAATAAAGGAACCATCCACTATTATAATCATATAAAGCCTTAGGAAGAATTGACAGGACTCTGAAGCATCAACTCCAACTTCAGAAACATGATAATACAGGGTCTGAATTAATATACAATGTCTCAATTTTATACAATGCAAAAGTAATCGGCATATCAAAACCAAAACTCAGGAATTAAAGTATATATACATGGAATTATCCCATGTTAGCAATTCACATTTAATATAATACAAGACATGGCTAAAATGGAGTATCATGTGATATTATGAAAAGAACCAGATGAAAAAGTGCTAACATTTAATATAATACAAGAGATGGCTAAAATGGAGTATCATGTGACATTATGAAAGAACCAGATGCAAAATAGACTGTTTTTTCCTTCCCAGGACAGGAAGCATGAATATCAAATTGTTTAGCAAACATCTTGAGCAGTAAGGACTATTTGTATTTTTTTATCATTTGACAACGAAATTGGCAATGCTGCAAACTAAGCAGCTTTTTCTTTTCATCACTAAATAACCAAGCAAACTAAGCTGCTTCTCAATGGCCTTTTATTTCCATTGCATATGCTGGACTAGGCACACCCTTAGCAATTGTTGAGAGGAGCATCAGTCCAAAAGAAAGTCAGACATGTAAAGCAGCAACACTTGCGAAACAAAACCCATATTAATTCTAATTCTCAGTGATTGTATGGACAAAAACAAAACCGTGTAATCGCCCATAGGGCATGTACAAAATTGCCCAAAGTGACACTATAACAAATAATGTATAAAAAACCTGCACAAAAAGTTCCTAGAAAACTGCACAAAAAGGTTATATACAAATTGATCTGGAAGCATATTAGCTCTTCTTAATGAATCTTAAGTTTGACAGGATTCTCTCTCTTGCTATTCCATCTGTTCAGTTCATTTGCTTCTTTCATTTGCTTCCCAAGAAAACTCCATCAAGCCTCCAGGGATACCCAGTCCTGTGCTTGTCAATGAGATTATGGTTTCCCATACAATCTGAAGCAGGGCATTTGCTTCTGCCTCAGTTGCCTCAAGCTTTATTCACTCCTTTGAAATATTGCTCATGTTTTGAAATAATTTAGGATTTTGTCCAGCACCAATCCTTCCCATAAACTGAAATTTTCAATTTGGTTTCTACAGGTGCTTCCAGGTCCACCTAGCGCCCACCACATTTAGATATTAAAGTAAGACTTAAGGACTCACATGGCGAGATTGCGAAAAACTCGTGTAAGACTACAAAAAAGATCCTCCAACAAGGATATGTATTCAGGAGGCATGGGGACCATAATCAGATCCTAAAGCCCAGTTCTTAAACATTAATCAAAATTATAATCTAGTGTACATATCAATGTCAAAAATAGATGCCCAGCCCATTCCAGTACTAAGGTTATAAACTAACTTATTTAAGAACTCCAACTGCCCAACAAGTACAGAACAATAATTTGTATTTAAGAACTCCAGCAATTATGGAACATCCATACTCTACAAAAAGCCAAATCATTGCTCAGTGTTTGAAAACAAAGAACATATAGAGTGTTTGCTAGAAGCACGTACACCTAATGATATCATTTATGCCTATTATTGTTGTCATTTGTGACAATCATGCATTGCATGAGCATCAGATCCTTGAGCACTCACGAGTGAAGCACAAGCACCACTCATTGCAAGTAAAAGTAAACTTACATCACACTTTCAACTCCAAAAGAAATCCAATTTACATCACACTTTCAACATCCAGCCTTAAATGGTGATGAAAAAAGAACAGGGCACAAATTTCCATCATCATCCAAAATATTGATTGGATGATGATGATCCGCATGACCATGGGTTTCATATATGTCATGAGAATTAGAGGATACTATCCTAAAATATATTTACAATATCCCAAAATATAATTACAACAAGAACAGGAAACTTGTAATAGAAACCTGATAACCATGTGACAGGTGTCCACCATGCGGAAGATCAAGGGCCATTATTCGCTCGTGTGGTTTCAGTAATGCAGTGTAAACATGAAAATTTGCAGGAGACCCTGACAGAGGCTGCACGTTTACTGCAAAATTTTCATGATAGCTTATTCTCAGTAGGCGATCTCAAAATAACAAGGTGGCCATATAGGTGCAGCACAAAAGCTTATCCATTGTTCTCACGAATCAAAAGATTCAGAACTATAAAAGAAAATAAATTTTTGTTCTATGCTTGGGTTGTGAAGTATAATAATTCATCCACATAATCCATGTTTCTTAAACCACATCAACTTTTCTTCCCAAAGAAATCTTCCAAGTTGTAGAAATTTGACAAATCAAAACCCCAAGGCCTGTGGAATTTGCACTTTTCAATACATGTTTGAAATACATTACATATGTACTTATGTACATACCCAATGGATTTTGCACCTATGCAAGCACAAATGTAGGTATGGATGCAGACCAACCTCCCCACTTTTCTGGATCAAGCCGATAAGCTTCTAAGGCTCGTTTTTGACATAGTGATTCTGCCATGTCGATGTACCTGCAAGAGAAAAGTGCCTCAAAGTGTATGAGCATTGACTAGGGAACATTAAACACTTCAAAAGGTTGGCAACCATTTAAAGCTCTAAGAATATCATATAGACGCAAAATAACACAATACAGTACTGTTAATAAAGCCAGATGGCAAGGGAAGAACATGTTGCTCACTCGTTTCCTCCATAATATCTAGCACCAGGATAGCCTTCACTGTATTTGTTGCACATAACAGACCCAACAGCCTGCATGACTGATACTGAAGTGAAGTTTTCGGATGGTATAAGTTCCAGACCCTGCAGAAGCGAGCAATCCAAGAGCTATCAATTTAAAACTGTTGCAACACCAATTCAGAGAGTTAATGAACAAATTGTAAGCTAATCTTTGATGTCCTGTGTCAGAAAATCCTTCATGTTCAAAAAGTTACCAAAAGCTTATAAATTCCAGCTAAATGAACCAAGGCCCTATCATGATGCTCTTATTGATTTAATAATAACATGTGACATATCCTACAGATTATCATGGTATCAAACAACAACAACAAAAAACTGTAACAAAAGAGCCATATTTACATTTCCCAGAGAATTAGAATAATATCAGAGCAGCAGTATAATTGCCCGGCTGTGCACTTTTCAAGTTCAAACCATAGCATCTTCTGAGCCTTTAAATGATTGGTTTAAATTCACCCAATGCTTTGAAAACGAGTGTATGAGAGAAATGGACACCATGAATGGATAATATCCAACTGAGCATGAAACAACAACAAATTCTCAATAAAAATCACAAAAAAAATAATATTCCAATATGCCCAATACTTTGAAGGTGGTTCATTAAGAGATATAGACCCCAGGAAATAAGAAGAAACTTAAAAAATATTGAAAATCAAAATGGGTTGTAAAATTTAAACAATATCTAAATAAATTCACAAGGAAATACCTTCCATTGTCTCGCTTTCTCTAACTCGATTATGTTTGCAATCTCTGGGTCCACTTCCTCAAGGGGTGCATTCAACTGCTTTGGCCACTGAAACGGAACAAATGCCAATAAATAAAATACATGAATGCGTATCTCAAACTCCAGATCCAATGGTTCAAACCATGAAGAATCTCTAAATAGCTGGGATCCCAAAGAAACAGATAGCAGAGCATAACAAATATATCAAAGACAACCAGGTTTCCGAAGAGAAATTTGCATGTTCACGCAACAGTTCTAAAGAAAATTCAAATTCAAACCACCCCAAATACTCACTGGGACATTAGATCTCTCCTTATCATATTCCACCTGATTAGGCAGAGATGTCTGCAACCAAAAAAACAAAGAAAAAGAGCAAGAAAATAAGAAACAAAAAACAAGCAACCTTTTGGATTTCAAGAAAATGAAATTATATGCATATAAATCCAACAAAACAGGGCGAAAACCAGATAATAAAGAACACAATATGTACCAACAAAAAAGTTAAAATACCAACAAAACCCAACTTTTTGAATTTCAAGGAAATGAAGCTTATAATGCAGATTCAAGAAAGATCATGGAAGCAAAATGTTAATGGACATAAACGCGAAAAGACGTTAGAAAGAGAAAATCATGTTATGAAGAAGTAAAACTGGTGGGGAGAGCGACAGAGACCAGGTTGTAAAGGGAATATCCAACGAATGGTGGGCGTAAAGTCTTGGCGGAGGAGAGCCTGCGCAGTGCTGCCATTGCCATCGCCATTTTCTCCCTCCCTCTCTATCTCTCTCTCTCCTTTCTATTGTAGCCACTATGAGGGTTGGTGGATTTAAAAAAAAAAAGGGAAATTATACTAGAAGGATAATAAGATTTAAAAATAATTAGGAAATTAATGCACCACTCAAAAAGCAGCGAAAAGATTGGGAGGTTTGCTGCTCCTCTCTTCTTGTGAATGTAATGGCCTCCTCCCATGAAAAATTAAAAGAAATTCAAGGTTTTTATTTTAATTTTTAAAATTTTTGGCCCTAAATTTTAAGAGGTAAACAAGATAAATGTTTTTAAAAAAAATTTAGGTGGGGCACCAATAGACGATAAGTAGAGAGAGTAGACTTGGATGGGCTAGCCACCTGTACCGCATACTCAGTACAACACTGATTAGGAGGTGGAGTTAGTTCAATTGTAAGGCTTAAAAATGACAAGACTAAGAACCAAGAAGACATGGTTATAAATAGTGAGAAAGCCTATGTGGACATTAAGACCTCACTAAGAGTATGGTTCTTAATATATCAGAATGGCGGAACAGGTTTCGTATAGCCAACCTGAATTAGTTGGAAAAATGTTTTGATGATGATGATACATCAAAAAAAAAAGGTTAAAAAAAATAAATAAATTAAAAAACAATGAAAATGCCCCCACACCTTTCACCTTTAAGTAAAGGTGCAATCTACATTAAATTTGGGTCATCTGGTCTATACTATAGCATAAGCTAAACCAACTAAAAAGATCTAAAAAGTTTTAAAACTTTGCAGCAATCTCACCTATTTATTTAAGAAATTACAATACGAAAAGCAAAACTTTTGTTTCATATCCAAAACTACACTAAGGGCTTGTTTGAATGTACTCATTATCATTGATAATTTACAATTTGAATGAAATCAATCTTGATCATAAATTCTCTATTGTTTAATGGTTTCTATTATTTGAGAAAATTGTTCCATACGGCAAGGGACGCATTTATACATTTGTGTCACCCGAGGTATAAAGCATTTATCTTAAATATGGATGCGAATGTATGTCTATCTAAAATCAGTTGAAACTGACAGTCCAAAAGTTTTCTTTAGAAAATTATTAGTTTTTATTTTTTATTTTTTATTTTTTTGTATATTCATGATCTCTATGTTAGAGATTATATATCCTTAAAAATTAGGTCCATCTCAAAAATAAATTTTTAAGAGGAGATTCATTTCTATGGGCACTCATAGAAAACATGTCTTTATTTTTTTGAAAAGCTATTTTTACTTTATTCAAAATAATTTGTTTAAAATCATGTCATCTTTAGCCAAAAATAATTAAAAATAAGTTAAACTTACCAAATAATTAAATAATGTTATATGTAATACAAGATATGTACCAAACTCTGCAACATAAACAATTGTGCCTAATGGTCTGACCACATACTTGATGTGGTATAAAGTCTAGGCGCTATAATAAAGCCGAAAAACAAGGCGATTTCTATACAACTCAAGAAAAAGCACTTGCTTATGCAAATGAAAGTATACAATTACACCACCATAAATCGACCTTACAAGTACCTGAGGACTTAAAAACCACTTAAATAAAAACTTGAAACAATCCCCTTATAGGGCAATTACTTATCACTTTAACATACTCAAAAATTACACCATTGGATTACATACATTGCTCAAACACCTTCACACAATCAAATTACATATGACAACTGCAACAACTGAGATTGCAGTAAATATAAACCACTTAAATAGAGATATTAAAGTGTGAAACTAAGTGGGGAAGCCAACGATTTGAATGCCTTGTGCCCAGGCTACAAATTCGAGACTTAATTGTGTCCCAATGAATAGTGCAAGAGTGGTTTATAATCTCAAGGGTGTCTAATCCAATTAGGAATCTCTTACACTTTTAAAACCACTTCTTAGAGTCCACAAAATCTATTTAAAATAGTTTGCAAGAATAATGAAGAAAATCGGATCAATATAGAGTAAGATAGAGCAAAACTACTTGTGGTGGTCCACCGGTTCACCACAACAACTTTTCATGCAAAAGTTCCAACTCTAAATGATCAAATACACTTCTCAGAGGATCTAAATATCTCTAAAATTTGAATAAAAATATTTAGAAATACTCAAAAGAATTTTTGCAAGGTAGATCAAATGAAATTATGCATGATCAAAAGTTTATCAATGCATAAAACACATAAGTAAGTGAGGGATCACACTATGTAAGAATGCATGAAGATAACATCAAAATGGAAGTCGAAGGAAGCTAAAACATAATTGTAAATGAAATTTCCAAGAACCTTTGATCAAGGATAAAACGATCTTTGATATAAAATAACTTAGAGAGATAATACCTTGATCAAGGTATGAGATGCGTTTGATCTTATGGAGTGAAGGATCACCATCAAGCTTCCAAGATCATCAATGGGGGATGGGAACTCTCAAAGGGAAATGAGTGGAACCTCAAGGTTTGATCTCTTTCTTTCTCTCTCTATTCAATTCAAACGAGATCCATTTTTCCATGTGGACAGGTTTTGGGACTTAAAAAAGTATATATGCATAGTGTGTAAGATCAGATATCATCAACACCCTTGATGCACCAATCCAATAGCACATGAGATGCTATTATACTGTAGCTACCATCTCCATCCAACCACTAGGATGAAGGGATGAGATTTAGCACCTAGGTAAGGCCACTTTACCCTTTTGTCCTTAGGTCCATATATTTATTTCAAGTGAATACAAAAGCCATTAGTTTTAAATAATCAAATAGTACAGAGATCCATCAAGGACAATAGGCAATATAATAAATGGTAAAACTCACATATGTGAAAGAATACACATTAATCAAAACTAATCACTTTATAGATCTAATATTTCAAACCAGCCACAATGAGCTTAATATCCCCTTCACACAAGTGTGAGGATATTTTTGAAATTCAAATTCAAAAATTGAATTTTCATGGATTCAATATTTAAATTAAATTAAAATGGACCTCACATATGCCAACAAAAACACTTGTGTGAATTAAATAAACATGTGACAAAATAACATTTATAACACCTTAAATAACAATACATAACATAGTGTGTTAAATAAAACAAACACCCAAATCCCAACAAGGTTCCCACGCATAGGGTTCAGCACCCAAGTGGACGGTGATCTACGTTGGGGGTGCCACGTGGCCACCTTATGGCCACTCGAGTGCCACGTGGCATCCCAGGGATGTCCTTATATGATATTTTGACCGAACAAATTTTGAAAATCAATTTTTCTCAATTAAAAATTCTGAAAAGTTATCCAAAATAATAATAATTATTTAAAGTATTTATGAATATCTATCATTTCTCATCATAATTAAATTGAACAAAGGGTAAGTGAGATCTCTTGGCCTCGACTCTAAGTATCGAAGTACTCTATTGGCCTAGTCCCGAATGATATTCCACAGTGTTTCAAGCTGACCCAATGGACCTATGCACTACAGTTTATGACAGGAACATATAATTGGTCACATCAAAATCACTGAGTCAGAGCTTCTAATCTTTCGGCTCTCAATAGATTACAGGTGCACCCCTATAGGACATATTCCAACACAAGTACATAGGTCTTCCAAACTCAGATAAAGGATTTGGAATAGTGGCTTCCCATGTGAACGTTAGTGCAAATGTCATTGAATTGTCTCGTGTCATGATACTGACTTATGTCCCATAAGTCATGACCATCCATACAGGGTCGTTACTCAAAATAAATACTTGGGTTATATTGTACTCTATTGGATATTGCAAGCCCTGGCTGATCACAACAATCATGAGGTTAATATAAACAAGATCCTGACTAGGAGGTGACCCTCACACCTCCTTAAAAAATTGCTTTCTAGAATGCAAAACTCTCATTGCCTCAAGTACTTGAGGAATAAGAATCTAAGACCCCAAAATAAATACTCGGGTTCTATTGAACTCGATTGGATACTCCAATCCCTGGCTAATCACAACAATCACGAAACTAATATAAACAAGATCCTGACTAGGAGGTGACCCGCACACCTCTTTGAGAAATTGTTTTCTCAAACGCAAAACTCTCATTGCCTCAAGTACTTAAGGTATAAGAATTTGATACCCTATTTCGCAAAGTACCCAAATTATATCTCTCAATCACTCCCATTGAATGAGAGACTATTGGTCTTCAGGCCTTGAAATGCCATATACCCAACAATACCGATACTTCTAGAAACATATCAAACACTTCTATGGAGCTCTAATAGCGTGTCCCCTTTTTAGACAGTTCATTTTTGGAATTTGGTGTATTCAACAAATAATAGTTTATTTTAAAATAAAAATATTTCATAATATTAAAAGCAGCTTAAATAAAAATATTTTTTATTAGCATTGTGATCGCATGACTCCGGATCATACTTTAGGAACCCATTCAATAGCCATGAATAACAGTTCTATATTTGGAATTTACTATTTAGCTAATAGTTTTTAGCTTTTCCAATGTTGTTATGAAACAACTAGAAGAAATTTTTAATGAATAGAATTTTGATGATTAACAAATTTTGGATATTAATTTTATTTAATTTTCTAAGATGCTTTACTATTGCTGTGTGGGAACTACACACAAATGTCAATATATATAGACATGCGCATATACATAGATACCCCATATATTGTATGGACGGTCAAGCCCAGAAGTCATTTTTTATTGTTCATGTTTCAAACATTCACATCCATGTCACAAATAGACAGACATGTTTGTTCCTATATAACATAGGTACTAAACAACTTATAAAATAATGTTGTCCTGAATACACAAATTTTATATAAGTTATTCTATTCTCTATAAAATTAGTAGTTATCCAAACATGCCTGAAAATAGCATTCTATGGGAATTCTTACGCTAATTAGAATCGTGGAGACATAATTACGTAGGCACGTTAAGGATGAGGATCTCAACTTACAATGGCCCGTCATGCAAGGGTACGATAAGATGGGCATTTCGGTTATTTTAGAATTTTACGTAACTTATCTCTTTTATAAGGGATTATCTACAAAGAAACCAGTTATCTCTTAAAAAAGTTTATATAA